TGTGTAACAAGAATATCAGCACACCCATTAAAGAACACAACAAGTGGCTTAGAACTCACTCTTATTCCAAATCTACCATTTGACTCAGCTGGGAAAATACCAAAATTAAAACAAGGAGACCAAAAGCTTACATTCTCTTCCTCCTCCACTTCTTCTGCATACTGCCAACGGCTCGTCTCTTGTGGAACAAATCACGAGAGATACTTGAAAAGGAAGAAAATTTCAACCTTGCGCCTACAAGAAGATCATCATCTTAGCCATAAATCAAACGAGAAAGAAGAGGAATTCAAGTTTGTTTGGGAAAAACCTCCAGGGGGTTGTTACATCGTCCTACGAAGCAAGGAAAACGCCATGGTCAAATTCACCATCAAATTGTTCTGAATCATTGGGATCACCCATATCGTATAAGTCTCTAGCCTGAACATGAACTGCAATATTCCATTCTACATCGTAAGGATCTTTTACATAATATACCAGTCTCTAGCCAATACATACGGGTCATCCTCCTCAATATCTCCGGTGTGTAACAAGCGTGAAAACTTTACCATATGATTACCATATGCGTCCACTTTATATCCTCGTTCCGCACGAGTATCAGTGCACTTGCATTTGAATAATACAACTCTGAAAACTTCATAGTAGTTTAACTCCATAACTTCAACAAGATTTCCATAGTATGCTACATTTCCTGCTCTTGGGTTAGGATCACTAGAGMTAGYATAACTCATAGTTTCKGCASCAACATAAACACCAYTATTTTGTGTTTTCAGGTTAGCCTCTCTTTCGGTTGCGTGGAATTTGAAACCATTCACATTGTAAGCTGAATACTTCACAAYCTTTTCAGATGGACCCAAAGCTAAGCATCGTAAATCATCAGTTATCTCATCTAACTTATTCATCTCCACTTTTTGTTTGATCCATTTTGCAAAATTAAGATGCATTTCTCGGTCAATGTCGATGGCACGAGCCCTCCTGCTCCGATGCGAATATTTCCTCCGCAACTCATTTTTATACTTCATAAACAAGAAATTAGCAATACTTATATATTAGAGAATTGAGTTCAATAAATGTAATTAAAATCAGTTGTTCTTGAAAGAGTCAAACTTACTCTTGTAAATGATCAAGTAGTTGACAGTTGACCAATATATGCCGATGTGCTTGCATCTTCTCTACATGACTAAGAGTACAAACCTGACCCGCTCCAACAAATCTTCCAAGGTTTGGGAAAATACATGGAAGTTCTGAATTTGGTCTTATGCTAGTGCGAGCTAGAGGTCGA